CATACTCTTTCTGCTCTTTTAAAATCATTTTCTGGTAAGTGGGTCCGTATATACCTCAGGTAATAGCTTAAGCATCGGTCTAGACCTGGAACTGTGTATTTTTCTGTATTCGCAATAAATGAAGATATTTTGCACGAGAAATTTTTCTGTGAAAGTAAAATTAACTTAATACGTAATTAGGTCATATAGATCAACATGCTTTATCAAACAGAGGTAATGTAACGAAGGGCCTAAAGCAAAACATTTAAGCACGTGGAAAAGAGGACGGCTCGTCAGAGGCGGGAGCCGCGAAAAATAGATTAAACAATAAACACGTATAATGCTTGAGAGTAATTTCTGTATTAATAGTTATTCTAATAAGTTATTTTTGCATTTACACAAGTATCTTTTGTCGTAGTATTTGTATGGGAATACACTCGCGCGCTATTTGTTTCTATCACATCTCTACCTTGCAATGCAGAAATCCCTCTTTTCATTTTTTAAAAAAGACAGCAAGCCCCTCAAAGATTCAACCGAGTTGTTAAATCATTCTTCGCCTACTCATTCTCCAAAACATATATCTAAAGACGATCCATCATTACCTGGTTCTTCACAAACAAAAGTATCTTTACTTTTGCCTATATTGGTAGAAACGCGTCTTTGCCTCTTCGCCCGTTCCTACAAAACGTAGAAAACTTCAACTTGACTTAAGTGACGAAGATGATTCACTGGCTTTAAATGCTTCACGTGATTTTAATTGCTCACAGTCCTTATGCGATTCACAAGACCTAGATTGTTCGCTTAACTCTTCACAAAATCTTGATGTAATTCTGTTTGCTGATTATCTTTTTAGCTTTCCCAATTTTCAAATACTGCAGCCAATTCCAATAAGCAAAGTTCTACTCCTGATTCTTTAACCGGTTCTCAAGTATCCGTCTCTATCGAACCAACCTCAGTTGGTGGTGATGTCCATGCTTGGCCCCACCTTTCTCTTTCATTTTTAAACCCTGATAGAATGATGGATATTAATAAACGGCCGCGATCTCATCCTGATTATGACCCAACGACGTTGTATGTACCGGAGGATTTCAAGGTACTTATATTTGCTTCATCTTGTACCCATAATATCATATCTCTTTACCGCCATTTTTTGCTTTTAGTCCAGGCAAACTCCTGGAATGCGACAATGGTGGGAGCTGAAATCAAGATATTTCGACACGATCATTTTTTTCAAGGTCGGGAAGTTCTACGAATTATATCATATGGATGCTGTTATTGGAGTTAATGAGTTAAATATAGTTCTGATGAGAGGCGAATTTGCGCACTCTGGTTTTCCTGAAATTGCTTTTCAAAGAATGGCGGATCAGCTTGTCTACAAAGTAACTATTATTAATCATTCTCAATGATCTACCACTAACTTATTTTTAGGGCTACAAGGTTGCTCGTGTAGAGCAAACGGAGACTCCTGAAGCTATGACAGAGCGTACAAGAGGCAGACCAGCATTTGAAAAAGTTGTCCGTCGTGAAATTTGCCAAATTTTAACCCCTGGTACGCGGGTTGTTTGCTCGCGGGAAGCGCTCTGTCACGATTCTCATTCCTCACTTACTCAGTCGGAAAGCGCTAATATCAGTGAAAATGTTCTAACGAAGCAAACTGAGGAAGGCCGCCTTCTTGTGTTGGCTGAGGGAAATGAATCTACTAGGAGCCTTAATTCTTCTAAGTCTGAACTGGCAGAGAATAGATTTGTATTCGGGCTTGCTCAATTAAATGCTCTAGATGGGCATATCACAGTATGTTTCGTCTACATATAAATTGTCTTTATATCTTTTCGGGTCTT